TAACAATACAAAAAATTAGCTGGGCGCGGTGGTGGGCCCCTGTAGTCCTAGATACTCAGGAGGCAGGAGAATGGCGTGAACCCGGGAGGCGGAGCTGCAGTGAGCCAAGATTGCGCCGCTGCACTCCAGCCTGGGCGACAGAGCGAGACTCCGTCTCAAAACAAACAAACAAACAAAAAACAGAACAAAAAGTAACATACGTGGCGCCTTGTGGCCTGGCATTCACCTGTTGTCTTTGATGGAGCTCAAACGGGGTAGGGACAACATGTCCGCCCGGCAGATGGTGACAGCTCTAGTCATAGTAATGCGCTTCTATCTGTTCACAGCAGTGTATGTGGGGATGACGCTTAGGGTTATAATGAATATGAGAATTGCCTTAACACTCACGTCTTAACCAACAGGAAAGAGCTGGTCTTGCAGAGAAGTCCACCGAATACGCTCACTTGTTGGAAGTCTTCGGCATGGGCCCTCATCTCACTCAGCCAATGGGAAGGCACGCTGGCAAGAGGCCCTATCACCGCCGCGACTACGGGGTAGCGTTCAAGGGCAGGCCGCACCTCACTCAGCACGTGAGCATGTACGACGGGAGAAAAATGCACGAATGTCATCAGTGCCAAAAAGCCTTCACCACGAGCGCGTCCCTCACACGGCACAGGAGAATCCACACGGGGGAGAAGCCTTACGAGTGCAGCGACTGCGGGAAAGCCTTCAACGACCCTTCAGCCCTTAGAAGCCACGCAAGAACTCACCTCAAAGAGAAGCCCTTTGACTGCAGTCAGTGTGGAAATGCATTCCGGACCCTCTCGGCCCTGAAAATCCACATGAGAGTCCACACTGGCGAGAGGCCTTACAAGTGCGATCAGTGCGGGAAGGCGTACGGCCGGAGCTGCCACCTCATTGCACACAAGAGAACCCACACCGGAGAGAGGCCCTACGAGTGTCACGACTGCGGGAAGGCTTTCCAGCATCCCTCCCACCTCAAAGAGCACGTGCGGAATCACACGGGGGAGAAGCCCTACGCGTGCACGCAGTGCGGCAAAGCCTTCCGCTGGAAGTCGAACTTTAATTTGCACAAGAAGAACCACATGGTGGAGAAGACCTACGAATGTAAAGAATGCGGGAAATCCTTTGGCGACCTCGTGTCCCGGAGGAAACACATGAGAACTCACATCGTCAAGAAACCCGTGGAATGTCGGCAGTGCGGGAAGACCTTCCGAAACCAGTCCATCCTTAAGACTCACATGAACTCTCACACTGGAGAGAAACCGTACGGGTGCGATCTCTGCGGGAAAGCGTTCAGCGCGAGTTCCAACCTCACCGCACACAGGAAGATACACACGCAGGAGAGACGCTACGAATGCGCCGCCTGCGGGAAAGTCTTCGGTGACTATTTATCCCGGCGGAGGCACATGAGCATCCACCTGGTGAAGAAACGCGTTGAGTGTAGGCAGTGTGGCAAGGCCTTCAGGAACCAGTCAACGCTGAAGACGCACATGCGAAGCCACACGGGGGAGAAACCGTACGAATGCGATCACTGTGGGAAGGCCTTCAGCATAGGCTCCAACCTGAACGTGCACAGGAGGATCCACACTGGGGAGAAGCCCTACGAATGCCTCGTCTGCGGGAAAGCCTTCAGCGACCACTCATCCCTCAGGAGCCACGTGAAGACTCACCGGGGAGAGAAGCTCTTTGTGTCGTCTGTGTGGAAAAGGCTCCAGTGAGCGCGCCTGCTTTAAAGACACAGGATGACTCAGACCGGAAACAGACCTCGTGGGTGCAAGAGGAAGCCTCTGTGAGCTCGCACCTTACTGGGTGCAAAAGAATCCACGGAACTTGGGAGAAGTCCAGTTCCTGTAAAAACTGTGGGAAGACGAGGCGTTCTCATCCCATAAGAGGTTTGTGAGAACTCACGCTGGGGGTGAAAATGTACGTCTGTAGCAAGGAGAAGCCCTCAGGGTACATTCGGCTCTTAACAAACACGGGAGGACTTAATGGCAGCTTGGCATTTAATGTCAAAATCCCAGCTTGGCATTTAATGTCAAAATGACTTCAGACCACTTCTAGCCTTCTGGGTCCATGAGTAATAATAAGCACACTAGGAGCATCTCTGTAAATGCAGTGGCTGGGGAACCCCCTTCCTAGTCTCACTGGAGTCCTCATGACAGAAATCAGACTGAAGAGCGAAATCAGTCAAGTAAGGAACGTGGGAAGGTCATGAACGGGCCGCAAACCACGGCCAGCTGCCTGTCTCCGTATGGTTTGCCAGCTAACAACAGTGGTTCCACCTTTAAGGAGGAAGAATGTGTGATAGAGAACATTTGTGACCAGTGAAGTCTGAACTACTTCCTGTCATCTGCCCCTTTCCAGAAAAACCTGGCCGACCCTTGGTCTACAGCATGGGTTCTTAGCCGGGCGGCGATTTGGCTGTCCAGGCGTCATTTGGCAATGTCTACAGACATTTTTGGTGGTTAGAACCAGGGGAAGATACTCCTGACTTGTAGTAAGACGACATCAGGATGCTGCTAAGTCCCCTCCAGTGCACAGGAGCCCCCCACAACGAAGAATTCGTGCCCCGGAACGTCACTGTTGCTGAGCTTGAACATAATCATGCAGTCATTCCTCAGTTACTGCCTGCAGCAACCCCTCTGTTTTTATGAATCTTGTGAGCACTTACGCTAGGAGAAATTCTTTGACAAAACTTTTAAAATTCAATTAGCGCTGACAATTCCTATGTGGAAATGATTCCAGCCATGGTCCCCTCACTTGTGCATGTGAACATTCTCACTGGGAGAGAAGCCCCAGCGAGATTTTTCCAGTGAATACGGGATTGCACTTACTCTTTCATCATGGAGACAGAGCCCCAAGAGAAGCCTCAGCGAGATTTTCTGATGAATACGGGATTGCGCGTACTCTCTCATCATGAAAACGGAGTCCCGCTCATAAATTTTTCGTCTTTATTTTTAAGGTTACACTCCTCTAAATAACCCTTAAGCCTCATCAAGAAAGGTTTGTATATAGTATTTTTACTATAGCTTCATCCTTGATAACGTCCTAATTTCCTTTTGGACAACGCCCTTGACCAATGGCATATTTAGATCTGTGTGACATGGGGCTACTTCTCAGTACCCGTTTGTTACTGGTACCTGATGCACACGGATTGCGACCAGAGCACGATGCCTCCATGAAGTGGTGGCATGTTTGCAGCCTGCTGTCCAGCCAAGAGTGACAGATACTTCTAGTGGCTTCCCTGGTATCCACTCTTATCTTTTTCCATTATCAAGAGAATCCAGGTTCTGTCAGATTAGTAAAGTGTGCTAATCTAAATTTTAAAAAATCTCTTACAGGTTTTCTTGCAGCTAGTACCATCCATGTCCCACAGCCCTGGCCACTGACAGATCAGCAGATGTCCCCATGTGGGCTTCTGAGAAAGCTCTTGAACAGGGGTCATTCTTAAACCTGAATTCCTCCCCGTATGTTTTGTTCTTTGCTTTACCCCCTACTTTTCACCTCGCAAAGAGATCCAGTACCTAGTATTGGAAGATCCACCTTACGACCGTGCGGATGAAAGCCACAGTCTAAGGAAGTGACTGCAGAAAGCTCACAGTGACCCTGGCCTTCCCCGTGGCGTCTTTGAGTGTCTGCACCAGCCCTGGACATCCAGACTTCTCTCACATCAGAAAAAATAAAACTGATCATTGGTTTAAGCTGCTATGGCTATTTCATTGTTCTTCTTTTAAATTTATTTATTTTGAGATGGGGTCTCCCTATGTTGCCTTCAAGTAATTCTCCTGCCTCAGGCTCTCGAGTAGCTAGGACTACAGGCACATGCCACCACACCCAGCTAGCTTTTATATTTTTAGTAGACACAGGGTTTCACCGTGTTGGCCAGGATGGTCTCGATCTCCTGACCTCGTGATCCTCCCACCTTGGCCTCCCAAAGTGCTGGAATTACAGGCATGAGCCACCACGCCCGGCCCATTGGTGAGTTGTATAACTAGTACCTAAACATGTGGGTGGAATATGTATATTTTTAATTGTGGGATATCGGTTTTTTCATCCGGTTACACCGATCTTTCACATTGTATTTCAACTCTTTGTTTATATTTTCTTGACTTAGAGATATATTAGTTTTCACAAAAGCTCAAGGTGACAGGTACTGTCAGCATCTCTGTTTTGCATATGGGGAATCTGAGGCAAGAAAGTTGGGGTGTACTTGTCTGAGGTCAGCCTGTTAGCTGGTGGCAGTGTTTGCCTTTGACCCCTGTTGTCTGCCTCCGGAGCTTATACCTCCTTTATGCCCGGTGCAGGCACGGTTTTGTGGCCTCCAGGGTCTATAGCAGTGATTCCAGATTTTTGCCCTGGTGGTGCTTACTTTCTGTTTGGGGTGGGGCACGTGATAAACCAGTAAACATATTGTGTATCAGATGGTGGTAAATGCAGTGGAAACAACTGTGGTGATGAGAGGCAGCATGTGGGTTGAAGGAAGCTATTGGGTGGGTAGGGAAAGCCTTGGATTGAAGCAGAGATGTCAGGGAACTGGAAGCACGCACCCTTAATCTGGGGAAGAGCACCCTTGGCAGCTCAAAGGCCACAAAAAAGAATTGTGCTTGGGGCAGCCATGCAGCAGCAGAGGGGCAGGTGTGGTGGAGTGAGGCAGGTTCGGGCATCGTGGACGATGAGGTCAGAGCTGTATCAGAGACTCGGTTCACAGGTGTGTCTGGCTAGTTAACTACATCTTGAACAGAAGAGTGACAACTATCCAATGTCTGTCTTTTTTTTTTTTTTTTTTTTGACGGAGTCTCGCTCTGTCACCCAGTGCTGGAGTGCAGTGGCAGATCTCAGCTCACTGCAAGCTCTGCCGGGTTTACGCCATTCTCCTGCCTCAGCCTCCCGAGTAGCTGGGACTACAGGTGCCCGCCACCTCACCTGACTAGTTTTTTGTATTTTTTTAGTAGAGACGGGGTTTCACCGTGTTGGCCAGGATGGTCTCGATCTCCTGACCTCGTGATCCGCCTGTCTCAGCCTCCCGAAGTGCTGGGATTGCAGGCTTGAGCCACCGCGCCCGGCCAACTATCCAATTTCAATTTTCAGAAGGATCACAGTGGCTTCTGGATGGAGAGGCTAAAGAGGGAGGAGATATGAACAGAAGCCAGTTGGAAGGCCATTGCAGAATTCAAGTGAAATGTAATGGCAGCCAGGTTAAGTAGGAGGAGGAGTGGTGTGGGAGAGAGCCACACTGATGAATATAATCGTAGTTTCATTTTCACTTCCAGACTGATCCTTTTATTGTCATCCCACTATTCTGCTTTGAACTGCTAATGAACAGTCGGAGTTTCCCATTTTTCCTGATGATGAGCAGTGCTGCTGTAAGGTGTACGTGCCTCCTGGAGCACTCGTAAGTTTTTCCAGGAGTGTGAGGTTGTGGGTTGTAAGGTCTCTGCACGTGTATCCTATCAGTATAACGCCAAAGTCATTTCTACAGTGGTTGTATAATAATCCTGTGTGTGTGTTTTAAAACAGATTTTTATTGAAATGTAACATACATATAGAAATGTGCTTAATTCGGCCAGGCGTGGTGGCTCACGTCTGTAATCTCAGCACTTTGGGAGGCCGAGGCTAGAGGATCACAAGGTCAGGAGTTCGAGACCAACCTGTCCAACACTGAATTTATATTTAAATTCTACTCTGCTGTATTTAGTAGAGACTAAGAATACAAAAATTAGCCGGGCATGGTGGTGGGCACCTGTAATCCCAGCTACTCAGGAGGCTGAGGCAGGAGAATCACTTGAAACTGGGAGGTGGAGGTTGCAGTAAGGTGGGATCTTGCCACTGCACTCCAGCCTGGGCGACAGAGTGAGACTCCATTACCAAAAAAAAAAAAAAAAAAAAAGTGAGAAATGTGCTTAATTCAAAATTGTACAAACCAGTTACCACATGAACACTCACCTGAACACTTCCACGTAATCACCAGGTCAAGACAGTACTACCAGTATTCCAGATACCTCCTCGTTTTTCCCTCCAAATTACACACTCTGCTCTGTAGGTAACCAGTAGTCTGACTCTGACAGTATGGCTTGGCTTTCTGTTTTTGAGCCCTGTGCAAAAGCAACCATAGAGTATGCATTCTTTATTTTTTCCTTTTATCTGTTTTAATTTGCCCAATATTTTTATGGGATGATACATATTGTTTTCTGTGTCTCTAACTAGTACATTTTATTCTGTTCCTTTGTTTGAATATTCCACAATTCATCCCAGCATCTTGTATTGATGACCGTTGGACTTTGCAGTTTGGGGTTATTGTGATGAATACTGCTATCAGCACATTTGAATATTTCTGGTCGTGCACAGTACCTGTATTTCTCTTGAGTGCATACCCTGGACAGACATGGCTGGGTCGCATGAGATGCATTTGTTCATTTTCAGCGGATGCTGCCAGTTTTCGACAGTTTATATTCCAACAAATTGTGTGGAGTTAGACAAGAGGATACTCACATTGCCTTCCTTGTCTGACTGATTTGTATACTCTGCATGGGAGCCCTTTGGACCTGTGTTTTGGAGATATTTTCTCCCACTCTGTGGTGTGCCTCTTCGTGTTACTGATTCTTTGGCCATGTTCAGATGACTGATCAGCCTATCAAAGGCATTCTTCCATTTCTTTATGGTGGCTTTGATTTCTGCTCTTTCCTTCTGATTCTTTGAGTTTCCATTTTTCTGCTGACGATGCAGGGAAGATGAGCCCCCAAATTGGGGGTGAGCCCAGGAGGGCTCTTGGCTTTGTTCAGGAAAGAATTCAAGAGCCAGCCGGCGGTAAAAGAAACTGGGTTTATTGAAGCAGCAGGGCACGGCAGAGTGGCTGCCCCTTGTGGAGCAGGGCTGACTCAGGCAGTATGCCCAGAGTAGCAGCACGTAGGCTGTTGGCTAGCAGTATTTATACCCAGTTTTAATTACATGCAAATTAAGGGGTGGGCTATTCAGACAGCACTCCTCATTCACCTTCCGCCATGATTGTGAGGCCTCCCCAGCCATGTGGAATTGGGAGTCCCCATTAAACCTCTTGATGAATTACCCAGTCTCGGGTATGTCTTTATTAGCAGCATGAGACACAGTTGCTGTGGCCCATAAATGACACATAGTTTTAAGTCTGTTTTCTGCAGTTCTCCTATGAGTGGCCAGGGTTTTGATTTTGTTTTTGGTTTTTTTTTTTTTTTTTTTTTTTTTGCATTTTCAAATTAAGAGTAGATGAGTCTGAGGGTCTTGCTCCAGCTCTGTCTCAGACCCCCCACCAGCTGTCCCTCTTTCTTGCAGTTTACCTAACAGAGCCTTGGGGTGGGCATGTGTGGGACCATGGTGCTAAGATTTAATGCTTTTTCTCATTGTACTCATAGTTATGTTGCAATTTTGGCATTCTCTATGTCTTAAAGGCAGTGTTGAAGGTATAGCTCTGTGTAGAAGATTCGTAATTGTGGAGTTACTTCATAGCATTCGAGAGGAGATTTGGGGAGGTTGCTAACAACTCACTGGCCATTGGTTTTAGTTACCTGGAAGCCTCCTCACCTTAGTTTTTGGAGATACTTTGGCTGGATATTTTATTTCATATTTTATTTTATTTTATTTATTTTAGTTTAGTTTAGTTTAGTTTAGTTTAGTTTAGTTTATTTCTTGAGACAGAATCTCTGTTGCCCAGGCTGGAGTGCAGTGGCATGATCTCAGCTCACTGCAACCTCCACCTCCCAGGTTCAAACGATTCTTGTGCCTTAGCCACCTGAGTAGCTGGGGTTACAGGTTTGCACCACCATGCCTGGCTAATTTTTGTATTTTTAGTAAAGTCAGGGTTCCACCATGTTAGCCAGGCTGGTCTTGAACTCCTGACCTCAGGTGATCTGCCCGGGCCTCGGCCTTCCAAAGTGTTGGGATTACAGGTGTGAGCTACCGTGCCTGGCCTGGATATGTTTAAAGAGGTCATTTCTTTGTCTTCTGGCCTCCACTGTTCCTGACTAAAAGTTAGCGTTATTCTTAACATTACTCCCCTGTGTGTAATGTGTTGCTTGTCACTGGCTCCTTTTCAGATAATTATCTTGGGTTTTCAACAGTTTGACTCTGTGTCTTGCAGTTTCCTGTGCATTTGCTTTGCCTGGGGATCCTTGAGATTCTTAAATCTGTGAGTCACTGTCTTTCACAAGGAGGTATTTGGTCATTATTTCTTCATAATTTTTTAATTGTGGTAAAATAAACATAACATGAGATTCACCGTTTTTATTTTTGTTTGTTTTTGTTTTTTGAGACGGAGTCTCGTTCTGTCACCCAGGCTAGAGTGCAGTGGCACAATCTTGGCTCACTACAACCTCCACGTCCTGGGTTCAAGCGATTCTCCTGCCTCAGCCTCCTGAGTAGCTGGGACTACAGGTGTGCACCACCATGCCCAGCTAATTTTTGTATTTTTAGTAGAAACGGAGTTTCACCATGTCGGCCAGGATGATCTCGATCTCTTGACCTCGTGATCCACCCACCTCGGCCTCTCAAAGTGCTGGGATTACATGTGTAGAGCCACCGTGCCTGGCCCCATTTTAATCATTTTTTAGGTGTACTGCTCAGTGGCATTAAGTACACTAACAATATTGGCTACCACCACTATCCATTTTCAGATCTTTCTCTTCATTCCAAAAAATTCTGTAGCCATTAAGCAATCACTCCTCAACACTTCTACCTTCAGCCCCTGGTAACTTGTAGGTAATGTCCATGAATTTTGTCAGAAGTAGAATAAAAAAACATGTTGTTTCGTGTGCATCTGCCTTATTTCTTTAAAAGTAATGTTTTCAAGGCTTATCCATGTTGTAACATATATCAGAATTTCATTCCCTTTTATGGCTTAATAATATTCTATTGCATGTATGTGTTACGTTTTATTCATTCATCTATTGATGAATATTTGGGCTGTTTCAACCTCTTGGCTATTGTGAATCATATGGATATTGATGATTTTCTTTTTTCTTGAAATGGAGTCTCGCTCTGTCACCTAGGCTGGAGTACAGTGGCACGATCTGGGCTCACTGCAACCTCCGCCTCCTGGGTTCAAGCAGTTCTCCTGCCTCAGCCTCCCGAGTAGCTGGGTACTCGTCGAGTAGCCTACCACCATGCCCGGCTACTTCTTGTATTTTTAGTAGAAACAGGGTTTCACCATGTTTGTCAGTCTGGTCTTGAACTCCTGACCTCAGGTGATATGCCCACCTCAGCCTCCCAAAGTGTTGAGATTACAGGCGTGAGCCACTGCGTCCAGCCTGAAGACAGCATTCTTAGCATCAAGGATGCAAAGTTGAGGCACAGGAGATCTATCCAAAGCAACCTCATTACACTGAGACTTCTTAGCCGTTTCTCTACTTGATTAACCACCCTAGCCCACACTCTTGGCTTTATCCCATTAGCGCAGTTTGCTTGTCTGTCCAATTCAGTATATAAGTGTTTGGCTCTTAACTGCTTTTCTGGTTTATTTCCTTATGAGGATCCTCATGCCACGTAAAACTTTCATTAAACAAATACATGTGTATGCTTTTATCTTGTTAACTTATTCATATGTCAGTGTAATTGATGGGCCCAGCAAGGATCCTAAGATGACGTAGGTGAAATCTTGTTGCCCCTGCAATATGGACATTGGTTTGTAAGTGTCTGTCTGAGTTCCTGTTTTCAATTCTCAGGAATTTTCCTAAGTTGTTTTCTTCCTCATTTTCTCCTTTTGAAACTCCAGCTGTGCCACAGGACTGTGAAGTTCCTGTTTCATTTTTCTAATGTGTTTGTTTTCCAGTTTGTATGACTTCTACTGATATATCTTAAAGTTCACTAACTCTTCTGTCCTCTTCATCTGTCAAATCCATTTAGTGACTCCTTAAAATCCAGATGTCTGAGGTTCTTAGGAAAACAGGTGCTTCTGCCCAACGTAGCTTGAATTTGCTCTGAATGTGGCGGTCCCCTCAGCCAGTAACACAACTGCCTCCTGGCCTGCCCTGGCCACCCAGGGAGGAATGAAGGGAGAGATGGGTGTAGTGGTAATAAACCTTGCTGTGCACAGCTTTGTGTAACAACTGGAAAGGGCGATGTGTTTCTCTGCTCCCATCCCCAAGCCTGATTTCTTCAAGATGCAGTAACTGACATCCCCACACATGCCCTCCCCTCCACATCCTGTTATTTCATTAGAAACCCTGCCTAAGGAACAAGGAAATCCTACAAAGAGGATGTCTCAGGTACCCATCAGCAGCCATGCAGTGATAACAAGTGGGTCTGATGCCATTAAAAGGTTGTTTTCAAACCACCTGCTGCTGCAAGCAGAACCCAATTGCATAGGAATCCAAGCTCCATGATGGAGCTTTGGCCGTTGTTTTTAGTTACCAGGAAGGAAAATGGCTA